TACAGAACAGAGCCAGAGTGGATAAAGCTAATTGAGGGGCTAGGCCTGAGGGGCAGGTCCAAGGGGCTGGACCTGGGCAATAGGCGGCGCAGTGGTCGCTCGATCGACTGTGCGTCCCATAAGAACGAAATTAAATTCTGTCGCGACAATACAACATGCTGAATACGTAATCAATTGCCGACATCGATATAAATACAAATACACAGTCGAGCAGAGATATAAATGTATATACTAGATATATATACTTAGCTATCTCTCTGTGACTGTGGCTCTGGCGTGCATATATTTACATTGCCTATTGTACACTGAGTGAGACTCGTAAAGGCAGGCGAGTACTTTGCTGAACTTTGACAGGCTACAAACAAGAGCAGCTCATGCACATTTATTGCCTATTTATCTGAGCAATCGCATGCGAATATTGATGTAGACTAGAGATGAGACAAAGAGATGAAAGTGAAGCGAAAACTGAACCACGATGAGAAGAGAAGGTTATATGCAGGGCAAGAAACACTGAATGGAACGAGGACTTCATGAATACAGAGCCAAACTGATTGACATTCACTTGAAGGAAAATAAAACACTATGCTTATACGAATGTGAAACGATAATTCGTAGCATCAGCCGACATGCCATAACCCGACTTTGAAAAGACTATCTTGGAGAACTACTGCCGCCTTTTTCTGCCGTACTACTCTCTAGACTAAACTATACTCTCTATACTATTCTTTGCTCTAATCTCTACACAATAAAATAATATTATGCTACTATAATTGTAATACATTCTTTCTTTCTTTTCTGTTAAGCAATTTATGCCTTTGCGGTTAATACATTTAGACTAACAAATTATGACGAGTCTAAACTTAGGATATGCACTTCATCTAAAACACTAGTAAAAGAAATTTGTTCGTATATGCCAGTTTATTTTAATCCACTCATATGGCCATAAAAACTTAAAGTTCTTGTCGTGCTCTCTCATTTGTTTCGTCACGCGCTCAGCCCTGGCAGTCGCATCTATAATTGTGTGCGCTTTGGTGTATGTAGCTGTCTCCTGCACATTGTTCCGCAATGATATGTGTATATAAAGAAAGGGCAAGGGGCGGGGAGGCTTGCCGCTCGTTCAGCTTGAAAGCATTTTGAATTTTGCATATGCAATGGCCAATAGTCAAAGTCTGTCCTACGTTTCGCTTTGTACCGAGAGCAATGCTTGAAGGGCTCTCATTTAGCATAGACAAGTTTTGAATTGAGTGCGATTGGAAGAATTTATATGACTCTGCTCTATGTATATGCATGTATATGTGTGTGCGTGTGTGTGACTTACAATGAGAACTAAATGCTTGCTAATTGAATGTAGTTCTTGTTAAAGGTGTGCATAGTCAGAGCAGCAAGATATTCAACACTTCTTAAATTAATGAGCGAAATCAACCTTTGGATAATTAAAATGAGCTGCCATTCATAACACGACCTGTTCATGCACAATTAGCATTAATAAAAGCTAATGACATGCGCGTTGCCAGCCGCTGCGACAAATGTGCAAAATCATTTAAATCAGTTGGCAGCCCCCGGCTATATGTGTGTGACATGCCAAAAAAGGCAGTCGTGGCGGGGCGTGGCAACTGTGCTTCACTCTTTGACCGGACGGCGTCGTCGACAGCCAGCAGCAGTTGGTAGCTGGTCGAAGGACGCAGCAGCAGTCCCCGTCGTTAGCGTTGCCAAAGCCAGCACGTTTCGATTACGTTGGCAACACTTCCGGGCCGCGAGCGCCACAATTTCCGCAGCGCTCGCCCATCTCTCTCCCTATCTCTCGCTCTTCGTTTGGGCAATCGGCAAACTGCCAGCAGTCGGAGAACGTCAACGCGTTTGGGGAATCAATGGGGCTGCAACTGTTTTGCTGGCGAGCGAACAGAAGGAGGAGGAGAGGGAGAGGAAGAGGAAGCGGGAGACGGAGGTTCATTTCAGTATTTGCTTGAAGGGTTCATTTGTGTGTTATATATGTATATGGAGTATAAATATATAGAGATACCCTGTAGCTAGTGATTATAGATGGTCGTACAAGCAGTTGATTAAGTTGGGTCTAAAATAAAATAAACCCTTAAATCAAATTGGAAGTAGAGTATTTATACTATATGTTTGATTGATCAAAGCCACTTAAATGATTTACAGGGCATCTGTTAGTCTGTCCATTGGCCCATTGATTTTTAGACAGCTGACCGAAACGCTTTGCAGTGTGCTTTGTGCTGCTGGCTCATTCAATTACCGCTGCCCGCCAGCAATTCCTATTCTAATGTGCCACCAAGGGCCCCTCCCCATCCCCAACCCACCATTCATCGTTCCCCCTTTGATTTTCTCAAGTGCTCGGCTGGCACATTGCCCTGAACTCCAGAGATGAGTGGATGCAATGCATATGCGACTGTTGCCAGACAGACCACGCGGCAGCCTATTGACTGCCTGCTCAGCAAGTCTTTTATTATAATTTCGCATTATAAATGTTTTTTATACATTCTCAAGCACTTTGCATTTGTTGAAAGTGTATCTCAAGTGGCGAGCACTACGCACTAAATTGAAGCATTCAACATTTGGAAAAACTATTCGAGTTGTGTGCTTAAATATTTGCATGGCTTGGCATTCGAGGCATGCCCATTACTCGGCCTGGCCATAATTACTAAATAAAACCCAAATGCCAGTTGAGATCCAAAGATCCCACAGCCTAGAGCATGCTGCACAAATTATTCTGCTCACTTGGCTGCAGCCCAAGTCAAGGTAATTCATTAGCCAAATGCATTTTGACAGACAGAGCAGGTCTTTCTTTAAATGGCTTAATATTGCAAATGGAATTTTGACGTTGAGAAATTCGAGAATAAATTTATACCAAAAATTCAGTTCTCATAAATGTTCCAAATGAAATTTTGATGCAAATTAAATACATAATAAATATTGTAGTAAATGTGTATATGTGAATTCCTGAAGTGTTTTAGTCTTTAGAATTTATCTTAATATTTTATTATATAAATAAAAAAAATATACTTAAATGAAATGAAACGTAGATCATTGAATAAGTATTACTCTTCATATATTCTTAGATAAATAAAAAAAAAAAAAAAAAACAATACATAGCTTAGACAAAACGCAGATAATTGAATTTTTATAGCCATAAAGTTTGGAGTGTAATTAAATGTAATTTATTGCTTCAGAATGAAGTATGAAACTTCAGATACTTTTATGTATTCTATAGAAATATTTAGTAAAATTCATTATTTCAATTCAAATACAACAAGTTAATAAATAGTATGTAAACTGCATTCTATAGATGCAGAAATCCAGCTGAGCTAAAGATATTCTATTGCATTACGTAGATACATTCTAATAAGACAGGCGAAAATAACCTCAAGCAACGCCACGGTATCTCATAGATACATTTAGTTAAACTCAATTACAGCGTACTTATTAATTTCAGCTTTTGAGTTGCTCTTTTTAGCTTTGTTGTGCTCCCATCTGATTATTTGGCTCGTGCATTGCCGCTGACGTTGTTGGCGGTCGTGTCTTTTAGCTGGAACTGGTTCTGGTGACGCACGTGCTGCCTCTTAATGCTGATGTGAGACAATGAGCGCTGCTCTTGACAAAAAACAGCAATAGCAACATGCACATGATACACATACACACACACACACACACAGAGAGACACATACATGCACACATGCTGTGCGCTTGACGTCGTAAAGTATCTTATGTCATTCTCATTCGACTCCACAGCGTGCTGCACATTTAATCTTGAGGTGTTCTGCATATTTGCGGCTTTGGCGGCAACGTCACGTCAAAAACACTTGGATTGTCACTCAGTCAGTCAGTTGCTCAGTCAGTCAATAAGTCAGCCAGCTTGGCATCGAGGGAGTTTCACTCAAATGCGACCAAATTCTCTCTACGTTGTCGCTGACAGTCGTAAATTCTTTGAAATATTCTTCATATTTTTTCCCCTTCTCTCTCGCAGTTGTAACTTTTGCGCTGCTTTTTGATTTGCCTCAAAATTATTCGCCATGCGCTTTGCATAATAATCAACAGGGACACAG